GGGGGGGGGGACGGGACAGCGCAGCAAAGTTTTCTTGGCAAACACTCCGAGCTCTGAACCGGCTTTTTTCTTTCCTTGTCAGCCCAGCAAGGACCAGCCACCGTCTGTGGCTCGTCTTGGGAAAGAAAAAGAAAAAAAATCAGGCTCCCATGGATGGGAGGCCACTAGGAAACCCCACCGGTTAAATGTTTAAAAATCCTACTTTGCAAGGGCAAACGGGTTCCAAACGCCATAAGTGTGTTTGTGGGGTCCCTGGGAATCAAGCTGGACTTGAGAAGACTTTGCCCTTTTATTAATCCAACCCCATATGGGGAGGGGAGGGGAGGGGAGGGGGAAGGGAGTTTAGGATAATTAAAACTGCAGTCTTACTTCTGCTTACCTAGTGGTAAACCCATTGAACTAAATGGAATTTGCATCTGAATGAGTCTTTATTGTAACACCTTGCAGTACTGTAGGCTGTTAAATTAGACCAGTGTTTCTGAACCTTGGCCACTTGAAGACGTGGACTTCAAGTGGCCAAGGTTGAAAAACACTGCTTTAGATAAATCCAAATCGAGACAATCCTATTCGATTTGCAGAAACCACCCTTTTGAATCCCCATGCTGGCTGGGGAATTCTGGGAGTTGAAGTCCACACATCTTCAAGTGGCCAGGGTTCAGAAACACTGAATTAGACTGTAAACTGAGGTTGATTTGAAGCTAATTTTGCTTTGTGCTTTGGGATTACAGGGTGGATAATCATCAACTAGCAATTTAGGAAATCAAGTATTCTCTTTATGGGAGGGGGTGAAGAAAGGGAAACACTAGCATTGTCCTCTCAAGGATAAAATACGTCACAGTTTGAACATGCAGAATTACATCTTTGGGGTGCAGCTGGAATGAAGCTTTTCAGAACGGTTTCCAAATTAATTTAGAAAATTGGGGAGGGGGGTGACTCATAAAGGACCTTCCTGCATCAGGTATGGATAGATTTTTATTGCAAATGCTAGTCTCTTCACTCTCGCTGCCTTACTGGTGTCCTGGCCGGAAATTGATTTTTTTTAAAAAAAAAAAAATTGGGAAGGAAATTGTTTCCTCTCCAATTTGATCTCTTGCAGAAGAGATGGATCCAGAAGATGCCGAAGAGGTGGCCGCCGAATTGCAAGGCAGGAAAATAGATGGTTGGGGTGTCTTGCAAATTGCAGCAGGCACCGGCTTGACGGCTTATATCGTGTGGGCGGGTATTCTCATGCCCGGTTTCCGCAAAGTGCCCTTAAAACTGCAGGTAAAAGCAAATCATTGTTTTGGGCGTTTTAAAGGGAGAATGGCATGGAAACGCGCAGGGCAGTGAGAAGATGGGGGACATTTGTCCTCTTCCCCCCCCCTCGACTTTTCCACATCTAGTGCTGGACATATTTAGAGGGGGAATTTTTGAAGGCGAAACTTTGGGGCTGGGCAAGAAGGATCTGAAGGGGAGTCATCAAAGATTGAAATGGTGACTGTTTAGTTGGATGTTCCTCTCTGGTGTGTGGATAGACAGGCAGACAGATCGATGTGGTCAGTCTCGCTAGGTAGGCCAGATCAAGAAACGAGCTGTCAAGTCCACAATGTCCATGCCCCAATCCCGAAGAATTCTCATGCAACCAGGCCTGGTTCAGAAAAATGCTCCTTTATTTTGTGGTCCATGTGGCTTTGAACAAAACATTGCTAAAACTGAAGCCTTGAAAAATTTCCCTCTATTTATTCCCCCTCCCCTAATTGCCCTGGCGCCTCAATTCCTCTTCACCTGGTGGTGACCTCTTCCCTTCCTCCCACGGATCCATAGCTCCTTCCTGGCCATCAGGCCCCCACTGGCCTTGCCTGCAATCCAACCTGGCCTCATTGCCCATATAAGGTTAAGCTCCTCACCATCTCCTACTCCTATTACAACCCTTAACTACTAGCCCCCCTCCCCAGTCACCATTGGCAGAAGCAAATCAAACAAACTACCATTGACTGCTATGCTTTGTAAATTAACAATTGTTGGTTGATGCAGGTTCTGACACCAGCACCGGAGGAAGGCTGAAACTACTTCTGTTGAGATTGGCTAGAATAACAGAATCTTGCAAGTCTGATTGTATACCTCCTCCTTATACTCCAGTGAATTAGGGAGGTGACGTAATGGGTAGAAGGAAAAATCTGGAGGAAGAGGAGGAAGAGTCACAATCAAGACCTCGGTCAGATAAGAGAAATTGGAGTCCGGGGCGGAACTGTAATTTGAAAAAGCGTCTCAGATAGGACCCTCCCTAGTTCTCTTGAAGATAAAGGGAGGGAGGGGGGAAGCGCATTCAGCCTTGCAAGATTCTGTTGCCGTAACCTTATAATAAAAGTAGCATCAGCATTTATAACTTGGGTTTCCTAGTCTGGTCTACCTTGAAGGGCTGACAGGCATCTGCCTGAGTGTTATCTCATTTCTCGGGACTTAAAATTTTTTTAGCCCCGTTTGTCTGGGGCATAGTTCCTGCATATCTCCAAGTTTCCTCCCTTACTCTCTATAGATAGTGCCCATTTAGAATAACACATCATGCATATAATGATGGGGAATAAAAGGTTATGTCACAAAAAATTCATTCGTTTTTAAAGTGCCACAAGGGTTTTTTATTAATAGAAGAGACTATCTGTAGCTCAGGGTTGAACTGTGGAGTCCTCGGGGTTCTCTAGCTTGGTGGTTTTCTTGCAGACGTTTCATTACCCAACTATAACATCATCAGTGCTAGAAGATAACTTAACCCTAACCCTAACCCTTCTAGCACTGAAGATGTTACCTAGTTGGGTAATGAAACGTCTGCAAGAAAACAGCCAAGGACTGCACGGATTTTTTTACTGCCACAAATTTGGTTCAACTACACCTTAATGTGGGCCACCAGAACATTTGAAGGTGTTTATTCCAGGAATGTGCACTGAGCATGAGATATCCTTTGGGTCCCGCATGATGGTGTTTGTGGCTTCTCCAATGCGCAATGCCGTTTCCTCTTTCCTGATCCAGGTGCCCTATGTCCCAGCGAGTGCTAAACAGGTCGAGAACGTGATGGAATTGCTCAAAGGACGCTCTGGGAAGATCGCAGATTTGGGCTCCGGGGATGGCAGAATTGTAAGAAAAACTTTGCTGTCTTCCTCTAAGAGCGTTAAATCGCAGCTCTGCAGTACCTTTTTGCTCATGAAGGATTTTTGCTGCTCACGGTTGAAGGACATTTGCGTGGTTGAAGGGCACCTTTGCCTCTAGCTCTCTTTCTGATGAACGCATTGCAGTTTTTTCCCAAATGATAACATAGGATAACCACTCTAGCGCAGTGTTTTTTTATTTTATTTTACATTATTTTATTTTATTTTTCTATTTTTTCTGTTCTATTATTTTTTATTTTTTTTATTTTATTTTTCTATTTTTTCTATTCTATTCTATTCTATATTTTATTTTATTTTATTTTATTTTATTTTTTTGCCACAGAAGTGGCATAGCTTTAGAGGTCTCTATAGTATTTCAGTGAAATTGCTTTTCTTCGGTGGGTTTGTTCTGTTACTATATCAATTGTTGCATAATTTTTGGTGCTCTTTTGATATTATAAATTTCTCCCAAACTCTGTTAAAAATGGAAAGATGGTAATGTGCAAAATATTGGAGGTTCGCTTCTTGGTATTTCCAATTAAAACTTAACTAGAAGATGGGATCAAAGATTTTTTCTCTCTGAACCCTGAGAAAGCCGCAGTCCGTCTGAGTAAAACCAGAGCGGGATGGATTGTTTGATTTTGTGGAAAGGAGCTCCTTTGGTTCCTGAGGAATAGAAATCCAGTAAATAAGTAAACATGGTCTATGTTTTCAGGTCCTGGAGGCCTACAAGCAAGGCTTCAGGCCAGCTGTTGGCTATGAACTCAATCCGTGGCTGTTGCGGCTTTCCAGCTATCGTGCGTGGAAAGCTGGGTGTTACGGAAAAGTTTCTTACTACAAGGAAGACCTTTGGAAGGTGAGAAAAAGAGAAAGGAGCCGGGATTCTGAGCATAATGCCAGGATATCCAAACCCTGGATTCACACATGGCTTTGTGCCTCTGGAATAAACCCTCTTTAACCAAGCACACCTTTTCGTGGGATTGCACATCAGGGCCAGCTGTGCAGTCCCAGGAGAGGGCACATCTGCTTTAAAGAATTGCCGATAGGCACAGTTTTGCTTTCAGATCTGAAACTCTTCACGGTCCTATTGCTATGGATTATATGATTCTTGTTGAGGCAGTACTTAGAAAGAACAGGGGAAGTTGCAAAAGTTTGTGCTGAAAAGTGTTCCGTGAGCGTCTGCAGAGGGGGCAAAATTGGCAAGATGGCAGAAGGAGCGTTGTGCTCCAGCCCCTACCTCCACCCCCAGAATTGCGTGCTACATCAGTGCATGGTCAAAAGGGGCAGGCCCTCAGTTGCACATTCTGTTTGTCAACTTGGCCCTCCCCATGGATATCTGTGGCACGCTTAGTGCAACTGTTGATTGATTGATTGATTGATTGATTGAGTACCATCAACTCAGCATTAGCTCTGTTTTTCTTCACGAGGATCTGTCCTCAACCTGGTTCTTCAGGTCTTCCAAAGATGTACCCATTGCCCTGTAACTGAATCCATCCCCCTTGCTGCTGGTCATCCTCTTCTCTTTCCTTCTGCCTTTCCCAGCATTGTGGACTTCTCAAGAGAGAGAGGTCCTCACATTATGTGCCCAAAATATGATAGTTTGAGCCTGGTCATTTGTGCCTCCAGTGAAAATTCTGGGTTGATTTGTTCCGTGATCCATCCTTGGCCGTCCACGGTCTTCTCAAGAGTCTTCTCCAACGCCCATAATTGTTTACATATGAGCTCTAAACAGCACTGTCTGTGTTGTATGTACCTATCAATCATTGTGATAACTAAATTACCCATTGTGCTAAGTCGTGGTTTATTTAGCTACAGCTTCTTGAATGAATCACCCTTGGCTGAGCTCAAACACCCTAAGCTCTCATTTGCAAACCAGAATCTCTTGGTTTGTACAACACTCTGAAAGAAAGCCAAACCAATATTATGGCTTGTAAGCGAAGTGTGAATACCCACCTAGTGAGTTGGACCAAGAAAGATTTTTCCCTTTCGGCTCCTTTTAATGAAAGCTGCCTTAAGCATTTCACAAAAGTAACCTTTTCTCCTATTTTATGCTTTGCCTTTTTTTTTTTTTTAAGGTGAATTTATCAGATTGTCAGAACGTAACCGTGTTCCTGGCACCGAGTGTGGTATGTACATTTGTCCTAGAAGCGATAGGCTTTGCTCCAAAAATATATGTATGGTAGGGGTTAAAAGTCCTGTTTGTGGCAACAAGAAACTTTATTATTGTCACTGACCAGTTCAAAAACAAACCATCCAAAAAAATTCTGAAACAGAAGAGAAGAAATACAATAAAACTTAATAATTATAAAACTGATGTAGTAAAGTATGGCTTGTTTTACAAATAACAAAACAGAACATTGCCATGTTCAGTAAAATAAAGCCACATTGATTGGATCAGTGTTTCTCAACCTTGGCCACTTGCAGATGTGTGGACTTCAACTCCCACGAAT